AGGGGACCCTGACGGCGAATCTGGACGGTCCTGGGCAGGGTGGGCTATCGGGGGTCGATTTAGGTCGGGCATGTCCTCCTACAGGCGACTTTTGGACGACAAATAAGAGAAAACTAGAACACGCGGAACACCTTGCCCAACAGACAGTCGAAACATCATCCCCAGACTATGTCTTGAGCCTGCTCGAAGTACTCCTCCTGTCGAGGGACATGCCCGACTTGAGAGGGCTGATGCGTGCCCCCCCGAGCCCATCCCCCTAGCCTTGCCCCTTGTCTCCGTGGCTCTCGGGTCAGAACCCTCGGGCCTCCAGCGGCCGCCGTTCGGGACGACCTGGGGCCTGGGCGCCACCCCCGGAGCGCCGCCGGCGAGGCGCGCAGACGCCGGAACGCGCCCCGAGGCTGGACACCCGCCGACGAGCGCCCACGAAGGGGCCAAACAACGAAAAAACCTCGGCCTGGAGATGCCCTCGCTGCAGGCAGGTCGTCTCCCCCGGGCCTTGCCCTCTCGGGGGCGGCCAAGAGGGGGGCGTCCAAGAGGGCGCAAGTCGTGGCCGGCGGCAGGTGCGCGGCCCAGTGGGGCGGGGGCCAGGGACGTCCTGACACAAGAAAGAGGCGCCATAAGACCTGAGGAGATATCAGGGCCCACGCCATGATATCCAGCCCCCTCTAGTCATCACCCCCCTCTTGGCCGCCCCCGACCCTCCTGAGCCCCCCCCCCCCTGGTATCCCAGACCCCCGGCGTCATGATTTTTTCATGACGTCGACCCCCCGAGGTCTCGACCCATTCCCCAGGACCGGTTTTTCGTCCTGAGTCATTTTTTGACGGTCCCGAGGGCTGGTAAGGGCCCCCAGAGGCCAAAAATAATGAAAAACCTCCCGTCGTGATTTTTTCATAACTCGAGGGGGTCTGGGATCGTTACCCCTGCGGCCGGGAAGGCGCAACTGGGGGTCTCCTCCCGCAGTGCTGCCATGCCTGCCTCGTGCTGGTCGACGAGGCGGTCCACGAGCTCGCGGAACCCCGCGTCTGGGGTGCTCGGGCAGGGAGGCGCCTCGGGGGCTCGGCGGCGGGGCGGGGACGACAAGCGGGGGGGGGGGGGAGGACCGAGGTCTGCAGGGGATCGGCCCCGAAGGGGCCCTCAAGAGCGGCAGCCGCGGGGCCCAGAAGGTGCTTTGGACAAGTGTGCGCCGCTTCCCCCGGTCCCCCCGGACGGCTTCCCCCGGGGCCGCAGGCGACCCGAGGAGGGGAGGGCGAGGAGGGGGAGGAGGAGGAGGAGGAGGAGGAGGAGGAGGAGGAGGAGGAGGAGGAGGAAGAGGAGGAGGAGGAGGAGGAGGAGGAGGAGGGATCGCCTAAGCCCTTCGGAGAAGCCCTCGAGCTCCCCCCCCTTTAAACGGACGCCCGGGCGAGAGCCGCCTGCTCGAGGAACTCCAGCTCCGGGTCCAGCATGCTTGAGAGCAGAGGTGCGGGGCCGACAGGGGGAGCGCCCACGGGGAGGGGGGTCGCACAGCATGGCCCGAGGCAAGTGTGCGGACGAGGGGGGGCCAAAGGACGTGACGCCTCGACACAAGAAAGAAAGGGGGGGCATGATACCCGAGCAGACACCGTGGTCCCAGCCATGACCCCCCCCAATCATCACCCTCCTCACGTTTGGACGCCTGAGGTGGGCGCGGGCCAAAGTGGGCACGATGCACAACAGCACATGTTGCCCAGAACCGACAGCGGCGGCTGTTGGGCAGGCGAGCTTGTGTCTCAAACGGACAACCATCGCGGCGATGCCGACCACGAGCCCTGCTCAGAACGGACAGGAACTGCTGCCGGGCTGTCTGCCCGCTCTCTTGCACCCACATGTCGATCGCCCCGGTCATCTCCCTCCCCCTGAGCGCCCCCGACTGCGGGCCGAGGTGCGGGGCCGAGGGGGGGGGGCGGGGGGCCCGCGGGAAGGCGGCCTGCTCGGGCTCCCCGCAGGGCGGGCGCGCGGGGGGAGGGCCGCCCCCCCCCGGCGGCGCCGGCGGCGCGGCGCGCGCCCTCGATCCGCGACGGCCGGCAGCGGGCGAGCGGCCTCCGTTCCGGCTGGAAGCGAAGTACAATCGGGGCGTTGACCTAAGGAACCCTAACTAAGGAACGAGGCTCCTTTTTTCCCATGAGTTGAACTTCGATTTCCCCTGGAAAGCCTCAGGAAAACCCGAGGCAAATTGTTGAACAATCAAGGAACACCGAGCCCCTCCCCAACGAAAAGGGTTCCTTCTGCAGGGCCCCGGCTGTACAGGGTCCGGCTTGAATGATGAGCACTCACTTCTCAAAAAGTGGCTCTGTCGCTCCTTTGGTCAGCATGCGTTCCGCTACCTTTCTGGCGGCGAGCCCCCCTGGTGTCCCGTGGGACGCCGTAGACGTACCTGGGCAAAAAAAGAAGGGCTTCGCTCCTCATTGATCGTTCCTTAGGCCAGGCCGAGTGCTGCTCCTCCGCCTGCCGTGGGCGCTCTCGAGCGCACCCGCGCGCCCGAGACATCCCCAGGGAGCGGCTCAGGCCCCCCACACCTCGCGGCCTCCACGACGCGCCCCGCGGACTCACCACTGACGGTGTGGTCGCCGCGCCGCCTGGGCCCCCCCCCGAGGTTCGGCCGAGCCACTGCTGGGTGGGCAACGACTCGGGGGCGCGCAAACGTGGATGAGCGATCCATGGATTTGGCGCGCGCTCGGCAGATCCGTGGATCGTGGGAGGTGCCCTCCCCAAAATGCGGCCGGCGCCGTGTCGTTCGGCGACGGACATCCGCGATGCCCAATGGAAGCAAGACCCGTCGCTGATCCACGCCCCCTCTGATCCATGTTTGCGGCCGCCTGGAACGATAAGGGGGACCAGCTCGCGGGGGGGGGAGGTCGGTCGGTGGTCGGTCGGCGACACATCGCCGATGGATCGGCGACAGGCCCCCGATCGCGAGCCCGCACGTGCCCGGGCAGGGCGGGGCGTGGGGCTCCTTTTATCGGCAAGGAGTACGCGACTGGGGGTCAGCGCGCCCCCCCCATTGAGCCTATCCCCCTGACTGTCGTTGCCCCTGAATTGCTCGATGGCCCGTAAGTCTGGTTGGAGCCTTCCGGGGTGGACCGAAGGCGGCCCCAAACCCTCCCGCGGGATCATTCCACTGCGCGATGGGCCCAGCCCCCCCTCCCGTCTCCTCCTGCCTCCTCCTCCCCTCTCTCCCTCCTTCCATCCCCCTCCTCCCTCCTCCTCCTCGCCCGCGTCCTCCTCCTCCTCCTCCTCCTCCTCCTCCTCCTTCTCCTCCTTTTCCCCTCTTTCCTTTTTTCCGCATGCTGCGGAACTGGGCCTGTCAGTTGGTCTGGCGGCTATGTTGCCACCGTCGCCGCCCCGTTGCCGCCGCATCGCTGCTTGCAACTGTACAACGTCGATTGTACCGCTTGATTTCCACCGCAACAATTGCACCGCACAATAGATTCTCCATTCTCCCCAACAAAAATTCGGATCTCCCATCCCCGGAATTGATCCCCCTTTTCGCATTGCAATGTGCATGCGGTTCTGCCACATCGTCCATCTTGAATAACAAGTCACGCCATCCCAAACAGGCCGACATCCACCCCCCCGCCGTCATCACCCGCCAAAAAAATATGTGCGCGCACTTGCTTATCAAACATCATCAGTTGTCAAACATCCCTCTTCGAACGATTGGGACGAAAAATACACGTCGTCGCGCACGCATGCCGACATCCTTTAAACAAAACCATAGATTTCGTAAGGACTTCGGAATCGAGTCACGAAGACATAAAACACACGCACGATATCGCAATACGGGTTTTCAAAACAAGCCTGCGTTCGCGCTTTTGCAAGTTCTCAAGACAACCATCGTTGTTCCCCATGTCCATTCAATGTTACCAAACGGTCTTCTCGCGCGCGCGCGTCGAAATCGTTGGAACGCTCATGCGCGCGTGCTGTCGCAAGAACCCGTTGCAACAAATATGACGAAATGCACACGCGCGCGTCGCGTCGCGCGCATGCCGAAATCGTTCAAAAACGTTGGGTTTCGCACGGACTTCAAACACGAGCCCCGGACACATCGGAATTACATGCTTTTGCAACACTAATTTCCGAAACAACAACTTGCGAGCACACTGTTGCGTTTTTTCGGGGGGGCGATTGTGATTCTCATCGTTATCTCGATGAATAATAGTTTTGTCATTACCAAAAAAGAAAGCACGTGAAAAAACAGACGTGTTCAACATTGTCGCGCAATTCTGCCTAACGGGCTTTTCGCGCCGCATGTCGAACTCATCCGGGCGCTAGGGGGGAACGGTCTGTCAAACATACATCGCGGGCCACTCGCGCGCGTCAGCCGTGCGCGCATCTCGAACTCCTTTCAAAACCTTGCATCACCGACGCGAGGACATCGTCATCATTATCGGCGGGCGCGATCAACATCAACGCTGTCATCGCCACCATCGTCACCATCATCGCTGTGCTCATGCTCGTCGTGTCTACCGTTGCTGGCGTCGCCATGATACCGCGCCCGCCCAACTCACCGACTCGCACTGGAATGCCCGCTGGGAAGTGCCCAACGGTCAGAGCCACCGCGACCGCGTCGGTCGCGCCGCTCTTAGCTGGCCGCTGCGCGCGCGAGCATGCCCCGGCGAGCGCGGCCGGGCGAGCACGGCCGCAGAGATGCACCAACCAACGCCAAGCACTCATCGCAATCGCCGTCGCATGAGTTGTGCAAACCACGTTGCGGGCGGGCTGGTGGGATGATTGCGCGAGCAGTGGGATCGACAACTCACTGCGATCATAAGTGAATTGCACAACGTAGATTGCACTTTGTCGTTTTCTCCACATCTATTGCACTACGCGTGTTGTTCCACGTATACAGCACCACACTGGTTGCACAACATGTACTGCACCACGCTCATTGGCTTCACATCGATTGCGCCACGCAGATCCCACCAAGTAGTGCACAACCTATATGGCGCACAAATCAGTGCACAACGGATATTGCACCACGTATATAGCAACCCGCATACGTCTTGCACTAATAGCTCACACCACTTTTACTGCACAACCTGGGCTGCGCAGCGTTTGTAAATATATATATATATATATAGATGTATAGATGTTTTGCACAACGTACATTGCACCGCATATTCTGTCCCACATATAATGCACACCGCGTACTCCTAAGGACGCACCGTTACGGGTCCAGCTGGCGAACATCCTTATCCATAACTCCTCCCTGTCGCACCCTGAAACAAGTCGGCAGGGCGGGCCGGGCGTTTTGCCTGAGACTTCTCTCCCCTTATGACCCTTTAGCTTACACCGCGCGGCCGTTTCACGGATGGAGGGCGGGAGGGGCCGTTTCCAACATGTGCCTCTCGCCCTGGCGCCGCGCACATTCGTCTGACTAGTGCGCAACAGATTCACGGATGCAGGGGGACGGGGTCAAACTGTGGCCCTCGCCCTGGCGCCGCGCGCATGAATCGAACAAAAGCAATCAAGAGCTTTACGGATGGAGGGCGGGTCGTTTTCAAAATGCGAGAGCCTTAGCGCCGCGCGCAGTCGGTGAAAAAAATGGCAAGCGCTTCGCGGACGGGAAGCGGGTCGTTTTTCAAAACGTAGCTCTCTCATGAGTGCAGCGCACCCTCGTCCTGACAGTGTGCAAGAGCTCGGCGGGTGGAGGGCGTCTCCATTTCAAAATGTCGATCTCGCCTTAGCGCCGCGCACATTCGTCTTGAAAGTGTGCATTAGGCTTCTCGGATGGAGGGCGGCTGGCCTTCAACATGTGGCTCTCGACTCTGCGCCGCGCAAATTCGTCCTAAGAGTGTGGAAGAGATTGGCGGGTGGAGGGCGGCTCCCTTTCAAAATCTGTCCCTTGCAGCCTGCGCCGCGCACGTTCGCCGCAGTTTGCAAGAGCTTCACGGACGGAGGGCGGCTCATTTTCAAAATGTGGCTCTCGCCCCAGCGCCGCGCACATTCGCTTTCAAGTTTGTGAGAGCATCGCGTATGGAAGACAGGTCGTTTTCAACGTGTGGTGCTCGCAGTGGCGCCACGCACGCTCGTCTTAAGAATTCGCAAAAGTTTCACGGATGGGGGGCGGTTGGTTTTCAAAATGTGGCTTGTCCTGGCGCCGCGCACGTTCGTCTTAAAAGGTTGCAAGCACTTGACGTACGGATGAAGGGTGGGTCTTTTTTGCAATCTATGGCTCTCGCCCCTGCGCCGCGCACATTCGTCCTATAGAAGGCTGCAGGAACTTCACGGATGCGAGCTGTGCCTTTTCACCAGGTGGCTCTCGCGTTGGCGCCGCGCACATTCGTGTCAAACTCTGCAGGGGCTTCGCGGATGGTGGTCGGCTCCTTCTCACACTCTGGCTCTCGCCCGAGCTCCGCGCGCACTCGTCTTGAACGTTTGCGAGGGCTTCACGGGTGGAGGGCGGGGGTCTTGTTCAACACGTGGC